AGCGTATCCCGTTAGCGTAGGCGGGGTTACTATTCCATTTTCACCCATCAAAAAAAATCTCGTCTCATACAGATAGATAGATAGATATATCGTTTATTTGTTTGTTACTAATCACACACAACATGTACATAAGAATAGATAATACATAATACAACATAAGATTTATTAAATTGTGTTATTATGTGTGATCTGCAGTAACACAAAAAGGTATACTCTGTTATGTCCATGGTACTGCTTATGTCTATAGGCGACGGTTACCACTTTCCATCTGGTGGGCCGTCAGCTTGTTTGCCATTCTAAGTTGTATAAAAAAAATAAAAAAAAAAACATACACGCCGGTGCCGGAGACTCTCCTCTGTCAGATAGTGCACGATCTATAAAATCAGAGAATCAATCCTGTACATATCTATTCGTAATACCATTGTTTGTAAACAAAGATTTGTGAATGTAGTTATGAATGTGCGTGTTCTATTAGCAAAGAGGGAAAGGTGAACCGCATTCCGCAACCGGCGGCTGTGGGGACGCGAAATTAATTCTTACAGCGTTATATCACCTGTAATCACAGATAATAACAGTTTATGATCATTGATTAGCTTTAAATTACGTATAATCAAGTGAGGTTGAACTTTTTTTAATTATTAACAATTTTTTTTTGGTGGCATTCTTCTTCTTCTTCTTTCTTTTTTTGGTTCTTCGAGAATTTTCTATTTTTACTCATACTAACGAGATAAGTATATTTTTGATCAATAAAGAATACTGAGAAATACTTGGGCTCGTCTTTATATATAAATTCACTGCCATATCCTACCCTTCAAACCGATACACAGCCATGCAAACACAACTGCTTCACGGTAGAAACACGAATGGAACAGAGGTACCCAAGCAATCGACTTTTGTACAAAGTCTCCCTCTGGTAATCATCTGGTAGCATGCGGCTTCACTCGCGTGAATCAGGATATAAAGCATCCTATGTGCTAAGTCAGGATATAATCTACTAGTGCACAAAATTTCATTCAAATACCTTCAGTAGTTTTATATATATATATATATATATATATATATATATATAAAGTTTTTCTAAAAATACTACATAACACATTACGCTGACAATATAGCTTTCTGTAGTTCAATGAATTTTTTAAATTGGTTAAATAGTTTTTGAGTTTACAAACAAACAAGTAAATCTTTAATATATTTAATATAGATATATACGATTGACTCGAATCTCACCTTAAGTGATGTTGTGGTCTAAGGTGTTACACGCAAACTCAAATAATGCTTATTCACTCTAATTCTGAAAGACCCCATTTTAAAGTGGTCTGCAAACACAGATGCCGGAAGAGAATTTTACCTACTTCTAGAAAGAAAATAATTTACCATATTGAAAAGGATTAAACAATTCTTCTAATTTTACTGTTCTCACTTTAATTTCATTTACATTAAAATTATTTCATTTAAATTTGTTTAAAACTAATTAACCTAATTAAATAATTTATACTGGTATTGCAGGTGTTCATAGGCTACGGTAACCACTTACCATCAAGTGGGCCGTATGCTTGTTTGCCACCTCAGTGGTATAAAAAAAATAATTAAATGCACCATCGCGTGTCGAGATTTTTCTTAAATAGTTTATTTTAAACATTTAAATTTAGCGTGTGGAGTGGTGTATGTATGTTCTTGTTTTAATAAGCATGTTTTAAGAAAAATACTAAATATGAATTCGTAAGTGTAAAGGAAAACCCAAAAGACATGGAAAACTGTGTGAAAGATGATATGCCTAGATTAGAAGTGAATATGCAAACGACTGCAAATAGAGAAACAATGGAAGGTAAATACATATTACACCCAACCTTAAAAATAATTGAGATAAAGTTAGAAAGGCGATGAAGTCGAATAGTGTGTTTACAACCAGGATTTTATCTGCAAAATAAAACGTGAATTCAATTATCTATATTAATAATACTAAATCTCATCAATTCTAAAAATCATTGGATCAAAATCAGCAAAAATATTGCGTAACATAAACAAATACAGGCAAATTGAAAACCCTTTGTAAGGAAGTCGCTTAAAAATGACTCAGAGTTAAACAGTGTATCTTTTGTCAAACGAAATTACAGCAAGCGTTATAAATAATCAAGCGGCAGTCACAACACAAATAAAAATCTTCAAATCTTGGGTAATTATATGTGGCAGGGTATAGCAAATGGTTTATATGTTTTGTCATATAATGCTTGATGCAATGTGATATGTACCGGGGGAAAGGGATTGTTAGTAATGGAGACTGAGAATCCCATTGCTAGCAATATACCCAACCAGGTCGACCTTCTCGCGGTTCTCCCTGGAAACTATCATGGTTAATTCCTGATGAATTCATCATGATGGGCTAACTGGCCTGTTTTCATTCTCATCGATCACCCTTCACTGGTGCTCCGCCAGCGTATCCCGTTAGCGCAGGCGGGGTTACCATACCATTTTCACCTATAAAAAAAACCACAAATAAAAACCTATGAAATAATTATAACAGTCTATATTCACAAGGCACCGGGCAATCTAAACTAGATCACGTATTAGCATCGGAGGCGGAGACCGTCGACTCCGGTTACGTGCCAGCATCGTGACGGGCTTTCGACGATCACAAACTCACTGCGATCGTGAATGCATAAGTTATACGCTGTCAGATGTATGTTTAGTTTGATTTGTTGAGTTTTAATATTGACTCGAATAAGGATTATATAAAGAAACACCGTACAGCTACGCTGGAGGTCGATGTTTCAACTTGTACGCGGATGCAGGGAAATATAGTTGGGATAATTTTATGTACTGACTACCAGAGGGAGACTTTGTACAAAAGTCGTTTGTTTGGGCACCTCTGTGTTCGTGTTTCTATCGTGAAGCAGTTGTTTGCATGGCTGTGCTTCAGTTTGTAGGGTGAGATATGACAGTGAATTTACAGGGTACAGAGGAATAACACCGGAGTCCTCAGGAATGGCAACGCATGGGGGGTATCATGGGCGAAACAGTATACTCTGTTATGTCCATAGTACTGCTCATATCTATAGGCGACAGTTACCACTTTCTTAGAACCACTCTCCCCTCAATCCTCCCATCGCACCCTTCAAACCGAAACAAAGCCATGCAAACAACTGCTTGACGGTTGAAACATGAATAGGACAGAGGTACCCAAGCAATCGACTTTAGTACAAAGTCTCCCTCTGGTAAAACGAGTATGAAATAAGGAAATATGTTTACAAACGTTAGCAATTACAATATTAGCGGAATCTCCAAATGAGAATACTATTTATTGTTATTATTTATTTTATATTTATTTATTTATTACTATATTTAATTTTATAATGATTCTTCTTGTTTTTCGAGTTTTACTCCTATCGGAGGTTGGACAACATAAGGGCAAGCTTTATTTCGAAAGCTACCGCTCTTAACCTAATTTCAATTTGACTGTTTTTTTTTTTAAATTACTATTGTATGGATCATTATAAATAGAAATTTAATCTAATATATAAAATTCTCGTGTCACGGTGTTTGTTACCAAACTCCTCCGAAACGGCTTTACCGATATTTATGAAATTTTGTGTGCATATTGAGTAGGTCTGAGAATCGGCCAACATCTATTTTTCACACCCCTCAATGATAGGGGTGACCCTCCCCAAAATTTTATATTTTTATTTTTTTGACAAATTTTTCCACTTTTATTTTATTATAACTAAGCATTGAAAAATACATACAGCTTCAAATTTTTACCCTTTTACAATCAGCCCCTGTTTTTTAATAGCGATTTTTATATTTCGCAATAAGTGGTAAAACAACGTTTACGGGGTCAGCTAGTATTAAATATAATAATATTAATTTAAATTTATTACAAATTAAGTTCATATTGGTCCTTACAATAAAGACTTCGCTCTGATATCCAATTGAAATTTTAATATTGCAGATAGGTTTAGAAAACTGACACCTCAGTGTCAGACCTGATGTATGTATTTATACTGTTGATAATGCCTAAGAGAAAGAGAAAATAAGCCTTGGCAAGATGCCGCGAGACACGGTGACACAGTATAACGACCCAATATTCACGGCACGTCCCAAACATGTGTTGCCTCATTGTTTAACAAAGCAAAGGTTTTGTTTTCCAAGAAAAGGTTGCAAATAGTGGCAACGTAGATACTGTTTATCTTAAGTTTATTCTAATAATAAAGTTGTACTGGTATTCTTTTAGAGTAATTATGGAAGTTTTCATAATTCTCTTGTATTTTCAATCGATATCACAAAGAAGGAGGTCTACAAATCGGTTTTTTATATGTTTATTAAGTTATGAGGTATAATTCCGTCAATTGTAATACGATTTGGAATAATCTTTTTTTATCTGAAAGGTCACGCGTACAGATTTTTTTTGGGTGAAAATGGCATGGCAACCCTGCGCTTTGTACAAAAGTCGATTGCTTGGGTACCTCTGTCCCATTCGTGTTTAAACCGTGAAGCAGTTGTGTTTGCATGGCTGTGTTTCGGTTTGAAGGGTGGGATATGGCGTGAATTTATTGGGTACAGAGGAATAACACCGGAGTCTTCAGGAGTGGCAACGCTTGGGGGGTATCATGGGAGAAACAGTATACTCTGTTATGTCGATGGTACTGCTCATGTCTATAGGCGACGGTTACCACTTTCCATCAGGTGGACCGTCAGTTTGTTTGCCATTCTAAGTTGTATAAAAAAAAAGTAATTCTTAGAGAAAAACGGCTCAACTTTTTTATACAATTTTGCGTGATAAATAGTTATGAGTGATTCCTTTATAACTTCTATATTTATTTTGTCTTATTATTTCTGCATCTTTTTAATGCGTAAACACTCATTTTATTTATTAAATAATACGTCAAAATACATTTTATAGTATATAGAACACTGACAAAAAATGAGACAAAGTTAACCTGTCTTTAAGGCTCGAGGCTGTATTTATATAATCTAAGATATGAACTTCTTGTATGTTCCAGCTGGGTCGCGGCCGCGTGCCTGTGAGCGTGGTGCCCCCGCCGCGGTACGCGACGCTGCCGCTGCCGCCGGGCCACTTCGCTCCCCATCCCCACCCGCATCACCCACCGCACGCACTCTACTACCCACTACACGACACTGTACGTATTATTTGTTTATGATATAAAACTAACGGCCCACACAATGGAAAGCGGTAATCTATAGACATGGACAGCACTATGGACGTCACAGTGTACACTGTGACGCCTATGGCACTCTTCACGCGTGGCTGTTTATGCGGTCGTACTTTGCAGACCTACTAATATAAACCGTCTATCTATGTCTACCTTACAGCCTCACTGCCGCGTGGAAATCGACCTGATAGGGTATCAGGTCGACTTCCATGCGGTTCCACCTAACTTCATGGTTAATTCTTGTGGAATTTGTAAAAATGAAATTTGGCAAGAAGCAATGTCATGTAGCACAAGTAAAGGAAAAAAATCTAAAATCCGTAAATTTTGGATTTTTTTGGATTATGATTAGAATAGAATAGAATAGAAAATCATTTATTCAAATAAACTTACATTGAAGCACTTTTGAATAGTCATTACATTTTTTTTAATCTAATTTTGATGGAACCCTCGTTGCGCGAGTCTGACTCGCACTTGACCAGTTTTTTAATGGTTGATAACGGAATGGTAACCCCGCCTGCGCTAACAGTGTACCCTGGCGGGGTACCAATGAGGTACAGATAGGTGAGAATGAAAAGGCGGGTCAGTTAGCCCATCGTGACGAATACACCTTGAATTCAACACGATAATTTCCAATGACGACGTGGTAGTTGCCTGTCGGGGTGTATTGCTAGCAATGGGATTGGTAGTCCGCATTACTAATAATCCCTCCCCCCCCCCTCAATTCATACAAACTAAGCAGTTGTTACGTTGCAGCGCATCCGGCGGCGGCGCTCGCCCCGCTCCCCGCGGCAGGAGCGGAGGCGCGCGGGCGGACGCGGGCGCGAGCGCGACTCGCAGCTCACCCGCTCGCTCGAGCGGATACACCGCAAGCGGCGAGCGGAGCGGGAGCGGATGACCGACGCCGACCTCAAGAGGACTTACACTGGTCTTGACAGGTCAGTGATCCTTTCAATAATAACAAGTTTGTTTGTTAGAGTATGGCACAACAAGATGAGAGATTACCAGACTTACCAGAGGGAGACTTTGTACAAAAGTCGATTGCTTGGGTACCTCTGTCCAATCTATCAATATATCCCGTCAGATCGACTTCCACGCGGTTCCCCCTGGAAACTATCGTAATTAATTTGTCGTTGAATTAGTCACGACGCGCTAACTGACCAGCCTTCAGTTCAGCTTTACCAATCATCCCTCAGTGGTGTCACGCGTGGCATCATACGGCGGGGTCACTATTTCAATATTATCCATTAAAAAAAAAATATGATGGGAATTTATTTACTATTGTTTTTTTTATTTTTTTTATACAACTTAGCAAACAAGCTGACGGTCCACCTGACGGAAAGTGGTAACCGTCGCCTATAGACATGAGCAGTACCATGGATATAACAGAGTATACTGTTTCGCCCATGATACTCCCCATGCGTTGCCATTCCTGAGGACTCAGGTGTTATTCCTCTGTACCCAGTAAATTTACGCCATATCCCACCCTTCAAACCGAAACACAGCCATGCAAACACAACAGCTTCACGGTTGTAACACGAATGGGACAGGGGTTCCCAAGCAATCGACTTTGTACAAAGTCTCCCTAAGAATTAAAAAAATAAATAAAAATATATAATAAGTATTCGCATTTATGTTTTATTTATTATTTTTAGGGCATATGCTGAGCAATTCATAGCGGTGTGCGACGAGAGCCGCCACGCGGCCGAGCAACATGATTCGCTCGGCAGCACCACCAGCTCAAGTGACACGCCGCACTCGCATGGCGACCTCTGAACGTGTTACAGAAATATCGAGTCATCACAAATTCGTCCATCTACCTTACGAGTGATTGTTCACCAAAAAAAATGTTGGTGAAGTTATCGCCGGGGTAAAAAATATACAATCGAATTCAGAATTTAAATTGTAGATTAAAAATTTATTTAATTTTTTACAACATTGACTGTACATCAAAATTAATGCATATTTAGTATTTATTTATTTAAATTTACAAAATCGTCACAATTTAGGTTAGAACTGAATTAGTTTATCTGTAAAATGAATTATATTTCTGAATACTCGTCTAGTTTATGGCTAACGTAATAGTTAGGATAACGTACCAAACTAAACCAGATAGCTTTATGTATTCTAGGTACGCCACATATTGTAAATAATGTTACCTTACTAACTGCACTGGTAAGATTAATGTCTAATACTTAAAAACATTATGGCACGATACATATAACATGTACTTATTAGTAACGCGTGCCTTTAAATTAGTTGAGTCGTACATGTTGAGAACTTATTTACATGTATTATTCAATTAATTTATTAACGGACTACATACCTATTTAATATACGATTAAGACCATCAATTTAAGTTTCCACCTTGCACCGTGTTGCTTTGTTCTGGTTTGAACAGAGAGATGCTGCAGTAAAATTACTGGATACTAAAGATAAACGGAGTCACGGAGATCAGTAACACACGAGCGACGTCTTCAGTGTTAGAAGCTTTTCTTTACTCTTTACAGATTTAAGCATTTATTTGTCGACATTTGATATATTTTTTTATTGTATTTTCGGAAAGGATTTTTGTAATGACATACTTGTTTCTGAGTTAAACCGACCGACTGAGTAATAGTTGTGTAATGACAATGACTACTTTGAACCATGCACGTTTATTTTAATACCACTGTTATAGGTAACCATATCATATGCACGTTTCACAGCATCTCTATATAATCATATTTCATCAGCAGCAAACAAAGAACATGAGGTGGAATCTGTAGTTACTAACGTGACCACATACTAACCCAACGTTTGTATACTTGTGTAATATCGTCAAATATCTGTGGTATAGTTATTTCTAAGTCTTATTTACTTTTAGTTTTCGATTGTAAGAAGCGTTGATAGACAGAGATTAATTTTTTTTTTAACTTCACATGTAACAATCGTCATTTCAGTTATTTATTATTGAATTTTATATACTCTTTTATACTTGTCCCTTAATGACTTGAATGAATGAGCCGAACATGTAATTAATTATTTTTTCAATTCCTAATCGACATTCAAAAATATAGTAAATAATACTGATGCGCTAGCATTGATAAGATAATTTTCTTTCTTATTGCATTGAGTTGGCTGGAAGAGATCTCCTTCAGAGATAATACCACCCTTGCTAACAAGTTGTTAAACTAACCGCTGTATACATTATTTTTATTAGTGGCATTTAATATAAAGAATATATTAAATACCACTAATAAATAAATAAATTTGGTAAATCTGTCAACTTATAATAATACCCATTAAATTTTGCCTTCTCGTGTAAGGTACCGCCATCTAGTGTGACATCTAAACATGACAACTACAAGACTGATGGTTCATCTTTCTAAATAAATTGTACAACTTTACAAATTTAATGTTGCTTTTCATCAATATTTTATGTAATTTGAGTAAAGTATTTAATGTTACGAAGTCATTATAAAGAATAATCTCTGCCTATCAGCATTTTAGTTTATCCTCTATCGTATAATATGTTAGTGTTCGTAGGTAGGTATGTAAATATATGAAATGAAAGTCCGATGTACCTAAGCGGTGCCAAATTCAGCTCGCGAGCTTGCTATTGGTGTGTATATACGCGCGTTACATCTAAATTTGCTCAATTCGTCTCTATACTCAGTGTAGGTTAAGTTTTCTATGTTTGTAGGTTGCCTTACTTGGCTACTGCCCGATATTTAACTTTTTGCAATCTAATTAACAATGTGAATATTTTCTTTCCTTTGTGTACTTAGTTATTATGTTTATAGGCGATCAATTTTATTTTTATTATGGGTCAAATCGAAGAAAACCAATAAATAAATGTAATATTTTACTTGTAACAAATAGAATTTATTACTTATAAGAATATTAACACAAAACTATTAAATATTAATTTAACTCACTTATATAATTATATAATAAAAATATATTAAATTTGATCGAAAGATACAATTAATACTCGTAAGAAAGTATATGTCTAGAATCATATATAACAACCAGAAAAGTCCATTCACATGTTAGGCACATGCAACTTGTATTCACATGTTGCATGTAACATGTACATTGTTGGGACATATTTTAACAACGATCTCCCCTTCATGTTAAATATCCATTGTGTATAACGACCTGATGGATAAAGCCTACATTTAATTTTTTTTTTATGAAAAATCTGTGTATTTGTATTGTTGTGTGTGTATTGACAGTTTTACGTGAGGCTTACAACATACATATATTGGGACAGGGGTTTTACTGTAAACATGCGAAAGTTATTGCTTAATAGGTACAAGGGTAAACCTTATGACTTATTCCATTTTGACTCTATTCAAACAACTAGACACAGAGGACTTTTTGGTATCTTAATTTAATAACTACCAGTTTAACTTACGTGTAATTAGATTGAAAAAGCTCGACTAGTTTCGGAATCAGTTCGTGATCCTTAGTCTTGAGCAACTGTGACGCGAGCACGAGTCTGACTTTTTCGAGCTAATTACATGTAAGTAATAGTTATTACATTAAAATAAAATGTATGCTTACGAAACTTTAAACAATAAAATATTGCAATAGCTTAAAACTGAATGGAGAACGAAGAGTTCTTTGTGTCCATAGAAAGATAGTAGTTTGACCAAAATGGAATTAGCCAATATTTTTATATACCCATATTTTATTTTTAAATTATACTAATATTGTTTGTTCTATAATATTTCATTTATGTATATAGGTAAATATAGTCTCAATATTGTAAAATATATAATTTCTTATGCTAAGTTAAAAATGATTGATTACAGATAGAGAACTAGTGGATTTAATGAATTTATTTATTTATTTTTTCTATAAATTTTATTAAAAAAAGAAAATAAAACTCAATGCTTGTAAATTGTGAAGTGCGAATAAATTGTTTTAAATAAAAAAAAGTAATATTTTATTGATTGTAGATACAAAAATATATTCTATATTATTGGTATACTATACTAATACTCTTTGTATGGTATCATGGGCGAAACAGTATACTCTGTTATATCCATGCTACTGCTCATGTCTATAGGCGACGGTTACCACTTTATATCAGGTGGGCCGTCAGCTTATTTGCCATTCTAAGTTGTATAAAAAAATGAATTCAAATTGTGAGATAACAGACGTAACAGGTACCTATTTAGTAGGATTATATTTAGAATTTTACATTATTAAATGGTTGCTAAAAAAAATCTACGAACTGAGATTTTCCTCTTTTTGGAATAACAGGCAGCATGCAACATGGATTTTTACGGTTTTTTAAAAATCAATAATATGCATGGTGTTGCAGGCGTCCACAGGCTACAGTGATTGTTTACCATCACAAGGACTGTATTACATTTAGCCACCATAAAATAATTAAAGATTATGTCCTACAGAAAACCGAAACAGTGTACTCTGTTATGTCCATGGTACTGCTCATGTCTATAGGCGACGGTTACCACTTTCCATCAGGTGGGCCGTCAACTTGTTTGCCATTCTTAGTTGCATAAAAAAAATCATAATAAAACATTGTTCAAAAATGTTGAAATTTCAATTTATTTAAATATCAATAACTTGTTGCTATGTTTGTGTGTATGTACGTAATCGTACGTATAGGTATAGAACTAATCTAGAACTCGTTGTCGCTGAGGGCGGACACGCGGCCGGGCGCGGCGCTGGGCCGGCCGCTCGCCAGCCGCAACTCGCTTTCGGACGAGCTCCCCAGCGACTCGCCTTCACCCTCGCCGTCACCCATTCCTGCTCCTACACAATTATATATTTTTCTCAAACATGCTTGGAAATGTGAGCATTATTTTGACAATCTTCTTCGAGATAAATCAAAATTGCCGTACTGGCCAGATACATGCGGACAACGGCCGGCAAAAGTTGTATGAAAATTCGTATCTGTCGTGTTTTGCGGCCAGATTTACTATGTAAACGCATATCTGTCTTGTAATTTAAAAATGGAATGACCTTTTACTTCGAAACATAGCTACCAAGAAGGTAACTAATACAAGGTTTTATTTAAATTTCGAATAGGCTTGCAAATAGAAAGCTGTTTATTGAAAAAAAAAAACAAGAGAACATTATGGCGCGTGAAAAATTATTATTGTTCGTTATTCGTCATTGAATTTAAAAAGTAAAATTGTGTTTTTGATTTCAGCGCATTGTTTGAGAAAAGTACTATACAAGTATGTACTTGCATGTACGCTGCAGTAATGTACTAATAATTATTTATATATTTTATTTACATCCTTTAACCCAACCTTTCCCAAAGTAAGCGATAACACCCCCTTGTGGGCGCTGCAGGCCTAAAGGGGTGCGGTAAGAGACCCAGAAAAAAACGGGGGCGCTAAAAAATAATTTCTTCTCAAAGTGGGCAGTAGACAAAATAAGTTTGGGAACCCCTGCTTACCTTGTCTCAACCTAATAGGTTTTAGATCAATAGTTGGCTACCCCGCGGTCCCCCCTGGAAACCACCGTGCTGAATTCCAGGTGTATTCATCACGATGGGCTAACTGACCTGCCTTTTCATTCTCACCTATCATCCCTCGCTAGTGCCTTGTCAGTGTACACCGTTAGCGCAGGCGGGGTTACCATTCCGTTATCATCCATTGAATAGTTGGCTACTTGAATTCTTGAATTGAGATCAATTGTTATTTCTCACTGGAGCTTCGCTAGTGTAAACCAATAACCACTGGGTTACCTTTCCATTGTCAACCATAAAGAAAAAATGGTCGAATACTGGGTGCGATCACAGAGTATACAATTTGGTACTGAAAACGTTAAAATATTTCTAAAATAGCATTTTACTACGAGTATTAAGAAGCGAAAAAGGTTTGTTTGAATCGAAGCATTTGGCGTTCCATTGTTTCTGCCTACCCTAATGGGAGACAGGCGTGACAGATATGTATGTATGTATGTTATTTATTATTATTTCAGCCGTTAACTGTCCACTGCTGGACATAAGCATTCCCCATAAGGGAAGTTTTGACAGTAGTTCTCACGCTCGGCAGGCAGCTTGGCAAACGCAGTTAGGCTTTCAGACATGTTTTAAGAGGGACGCTGCTGCCCATCTCTCGTCCTCCCTTAGTCGGCTCTTACGACACTCACGGGAATGGAAGGGATGGCCCATTCTATACCGGGGCACATACAGCGTACTTAATAGTAATAGGTTAGTAAATACTTCAAATCAATGATTGGCTACTTGAACCCACCACATAGATCAATTCTGTAATCTCTTACTGGTACCCCACCAGTAAACCGTTCAATTGTGGGGGGAAAGGGATTGTTAGTAATGGAGACTTAGAATCCCATTGCTAGCAATGTACCTAACCAGGTCGACCTCCACGCGGTTCCCCCTGGAAACCATCATGGTTAGTTCCTGATGAATTCATCATGATGGGCTAACTGACCTGTTTTCATTCTCACCTATCACCCTTCACTGATGCACCGCCAGCGTATCTCGTTAGCGCAGGCGGGGTTACCATACCATTTTCACCCATAAAAAAAAAACCGTTCAATTGCCAACCATAAAAAAATAATTGTCTACTGGGCGCGATCACGGAATATACAGGTTGGAACTGAAATCAATAAAATATTGTAAAATCAGCATTTTACTAGTTAAAATTCAAAATTTAAACATCATGCTACTGTTAACGTCTGTAGGAGACAATTACCACTTTCCATCAGGTGGGCCGTCAGCTTGTTAGCCATTTTAAGTCGCATAAAAAAATTCTCACTAGCTATATTGGTGTTTACCATCAATGAGATCAGCGAAGTCATCGTCATCGGCAGCCGCCAGGGTGCGCGTGGCGGGCCGCGGCCGCGAGCGACTCCAACGGGACCCGACCTCGCTCCCTGCGGTACCACAAGCTTGAAATATAATGTATTCATAGAAATATACTTTGTTAGGTTGTTTTAGATATTTTTGTCCTGGTAACATGACAATCCCATTACCTGCGATATATTAAATTATCAATAAATATAATATAGGGCATGGCAACTTCAGAAGACAGTGGAATGAATGGGCTTTATAAACAGAAGTTTAGCAACTCTTTGCTAAACTTCTGTTTATTCTCTCTAGAGAGAGAGAGAGAATTCATCTCTCTTTCTCTCTTCCATAGAGTTGAGTTTGAATCCTGTTTCAGTTAATAAGCTGTAGCCAACATTATCACTCGAATCATTCTTGGTTTCTTTTGAACATAAGCTTCCCTATGGGGCCCAATAGATAATTTGCATTCTACGAACTTCTTTGAGGAATGATCCTAAGCCACCTGCATCCACGAACTCATTCCATTAACTCTATTTAAGTTACTGAATACACAGTTATATATAGCTTTATTCATGTCTATAGTCGACGGATGGTAGACGACCATCAAGTGGCTCCATACGCCATTCAAATTTAGACGAAGAAAACTTAAGACTCTTTAGATATTTTTTTCTGATACCTCACTAGTATATACTAGAGCAGAAGTAATATTCCACGTCCACGAATTAAAAACAAAAACCATAGAGCACAAGGATTGAAAAATGAACATCAGAAATACTCACCATAAAACTGCCTATCAGAAAAATCGGAGTCGGAATGCGAAGCGTCTTCATCACGTATCTCGTCGAGAGAGTCTCGCGTCGAAGCCGCCATGTTGCCGAACGCGCGGCGGGACTCCGCACCACCTCCGGCCGTCTTGATCCTCAGCCGGGTCTTGGGCCTGGTGGCGGGGCGCGGCTGCTTCACTTCGCTCAAGTCCTTGCCGTCATCACTGGACTCCATCTCGTCCGAGTCGCTAAGCTTGCCCAGCACGTCCTCGGCTTCGTATTTATGTATGAGATGCATTATAGCCGCTTGCTGCTCCTCAGCCTCCTGTGTTCGTATGATAAGTATAAAAATTCATTATTCACAAATACAAACATATGAATAAAAAAAACTAACTGGACAATGTCTATAGTTATTTATTTCAGTGAAGTAATTACATTTAGAAATATCACTTCTAACGCATATTTTTTTTTATACAACTTAGAATGGCAAACAAGCTGACGGACCACCTGATGGAAAGTGGTAACCGTCGCCTATAGATATGAGTAGTACCATGGACATAACAGAGTATACTGTTTCGCCCATGATACCCCCCATGCGTTGCCACTCCTGAGGACTCAGGTGTTATTCCTCTGTACCCTGTAAATTCACGCCATATCCCACCCTTCAAACCGAAACACAACTGCTTCACGGTTGAAACACAAGTGGGACAGAGGTACCCAAGCATATAATTCTTATTGGAAAGGTTCTGAAAAATAAAATATTTTTTTAATAACTTAGTATTGTAAATAATGACTGACATGGGTTTTACTCAAATCCAAAAAGTTTAAACGTATCTAGCTAGATATGGGCTAAATGAAATAATTTTAGCAAACATTAGAAACTTCATAACCATCATACTAAATTCATAGGTTTTTATCTTGAAATTTTATCGTTTCCTGTCGCACAATATTTCACGTCAGTGATCTTCGTATACAATGCAAGGACCTAAAAAGCTTGGACATTAGAGGGCGCAACCCTCACCCGAGTACTAGTAATATTTCGGGATGACTGTACCGACATTTATTAGAATTAATGAAGTCGATTTAGCTATATAGATGTGAACATACATTTTCATACACTCAAAAAGAACTGACGTACGGGGATGAGATCCGTTTTTTCCAACACCGTACATAAAGATTCACACTATATAGAAAACACAATTTTTTGCTAGCATCTATAATAGTACATTACTGCAGCGGCCAGCAACTGAGGCATTGATGGATGAACGTGCAAATGTGGGCCGAGGCGTAGCCGAGGTACACATACGTGAGACCATCAATGCCAAGGCTTGTATAGTACTCTTCTCAAACAATGCGCAGAAATCAAAAACACAATTTTACTTTTTAAGTTCAATGACGAATAACAAACAATAATAATTTTTCACGCGCCATAATGTTCCTCTGTTTTTTTTTTTCAATAAACAGCTTTCTATTTGCAAGCCAGTTCGAAATTTAAATAAAACCTTTTATTAGTTACCTCCTTGGTAGCCATGTTTCGAAGAAAAGGTCATTCCATTTTTAAATTACAGGACAGATATGAGTTTAAATAGTAATTTATCTGGCCGCAAAACACGACCGATATGGATTTTCACACAACTTTTGCCGGCCGCTGCCCGCATGTATCTGGCCAGTACGACAATTTTGATTTAGCTCTAAGAAGATTTTCAAAATAATGCTCACATTTCCAAGCATGTTTGAGAAAAAATAATAACCTCTAAATTTTCCTGTAAGTAATGAAGAAAGAAACGTTTCTGCCATGCATTGTGTATTACCAATGACGTAATCTCGTAAATGCGAGGAGGTGAACTGTAACAAGTATGTAATAACAAAAGTGAAAACAATGACAGGCCAAACATGAAAGAAATGTATAATTTAAGCAATTCAACAGATGTACATTTGTATTGAGAACAGATGTATTGTATGTATTGATGTATTGAGTCACCGTTAGAAATGTACACATTTATAGAGAAATCATATACTTTTAAATCTTATCTTGTTTTCGAAAAACAATCTTTGAAAAACATTGGAAATAGAAACAAGCTGACGATACACGTAAGGCCATGAACTAAAGCCGTAAATAGAATAATCAGAATAATCTATAGTGCCGAATGTATTTCATATAATAGTTCCTATACTATGTGGCTAGCTCATATTGCCGCTTCACAACGCTGGTATCACTCGGTCAGTTCTTGCAGATATCCTTGTTTCGGCCGTGTAATCATCGTACTGCAGTTTTCCTTAGTTCCTTAGTTCCAGATCTAAGGATGTTAAATGTTAAATGTGATCATTCTATCCTTTAATTACTATTTAATTTAATCAATATTCTTTTATGTAGCAATCTTAATAATTTTAAATTGACGTATCATAAGAATTTGTAACAGATGTATATTTTGCAAGAAGATTTATTATTTTGCAAGAAAAAGTAGGAATAAAAACAAAATTAGCCAGCCCTGTATAGACAAATGGAAATATATCTATCGATAGTGTTTGAGAGAGACTGAGTACATACACATGTGTAGATAATTGTTTTCACTAGGATGTAAGAAAAGTCGATTGGCACAAACAGAACAGTGCAGAAGGAAGAAATCTTGAAATAAGCTTGTACACTAAGTAACCTGGCAACATAATGTTAGCATAGATGGCTGGTAACATATGACCAGAGAGCTCAAGCGGGGATACCGATGATGAAATAACCAAGACGCACTTCTATTATAGGTACGCTAATACATTTACCTCTGCTTGAGCGCTCTCCAGTACGCTTAGCTGATGCTTTAACGCTTCGACGCAGCGGTACCGGAGCACGTACTGGTCCCATAACTGCTCTATTTCAGTCTCCAACGCCGTCAGTTCACCTTGATACGCTGGTCTAGCAACGATCGTAATATAAATAACTATTTAATTGTTCAACATTAGTAAGCAAGCAGGCAGTCCTTAGGATGGGCGTTGTAAAGTTCCCAATAGATATGTACAACATGAATGGATTTATTTATTAACATAAGCCTTCCCCATAAGGAGAATTGCTAGTAGTTGTCACGCTTGGCAGGCAGGTTGGTAACCGCAGTTAGGCTTTTAGAAATGTTTTAAGAGGAATGCTGCTACCCATCCCTTGACCATTACATCTCTTAATCGCCTGTTACGATACCCATGGGAAAGAAAGGGGTGGCCCATTCTATGCCGGGACCGAAAGGGGATATGGATTGATTATCCTATTTTATTGTAATATTACATTGATAAAGATAGGAGATGGACGGTCAAGATTGCCAACTAGTCTCAGTAACAAAATTTGTTCAGGCAATTTTTGATAAGCAGGCGACGTTATTGAAGTCTCAACTTACTTGATCTTCTGCACAGTGTGCAGTCTCTTCTCAGCTCTCTGCAGCTCGGCCCTCCTTCGTTCTAGTTTAGCGTCCAGCGCTGATTCGCTAGCGGCGACATTGTCGATCTGCTCTCGACCATTTGCAACTTTGGCGGTGACGGTGTCGAGCGCGCGACGGAGGCAGGCTTCCATGGCTGCCATGTCCAGAGGCCGTGATAAAGCCTGCTCCCTTTGTTCCTGATGATGCAACAAATACAACGTAAATCATCATTCTCCTCATCATACTAGTTTATTTAGTGCTAACTGTAAACCTTCCCCATTATTATTATACGTATGTATATATATATATATATATATATATATATATATATATATATATATATATATATATATATATATATATATATATATATATTCCTTCCCCTTGGGGGGGTATTACCAATAGTTGCCACACTCGGCAGACGGACTGGCAACTACAGTTAGGTTTTGAATATATTTTAAGAGGGACGCTGCTGCCCACCCGTCGTCCTCCCTTAGTCATCTTTTACGACATCCACAGGAAAGGAAGGGGCAGCCTATTCTATGTCAGGACCATACGGCATTACGTATTATTTTATGATAGTTATCGCATGGTGTCACAGAAAAGCGAGTTCTGGTTGTCTTCTTCTAGATTCAAATTCTAGAGTGAGAATGCAATGTTTCACCTTTTATCTCCAGGATACCATGAGAAACTATTTGATTAGGAGAATAAAGCATAAGACATGACAATCTGATACAGATGTACATATATTAGTAAGATGCAACTACATGAATTACATGTATCAATGCTCTAGATCAGAGCTGTCCAAACCATGGCGCGAGGGCCACATGTAGCCCGCGGCTTGAATTGATGTGGCCCACCTAATGTTTTCTAGCTTCTAAAAGATACATAATGAAAAAGTAATACAATAACAAAAAAATGATATTGTAACTGCATTTTGTTTTTACAAATATTTTGCGGCCCCAAATGATTTTAACAATTTTATTAGCCCTAGACTCTTTCCCAAGCCGCTACAATGTCCCAGTCTTTTCCGCAACTGCAGTGCCCCCCCTTTCCTTTCCCACATAAGTCCCTTGTTCCTCTCTTTTACTAATTTCCTTTACGCATTTCCAACGTTCCTTTCCTTTTTTCCACAATCCTTTCCTCCAAACCGTAGGTGGCGGAAACCACCAACAAATGTATTGCCAAAAAGAGTTGACGTCAGGCAGGCGGCCGGTCGTAAAACACACAAATAATAAATGGGATAAGGATAGGAAGATAATGATTAGCCCTAGATCCTATTTAGTTTGGGCAGCCCTGCTCTAAAGACATAATTTTTTTTTTTTTTATTTTATGTGCGTGTACCTTATTTTCAGCCTCCTTAGCTAATAGATCGTACAGGAAAGCGCCTTTCGCCGTGATATCGGTAGCCAAAGCGCGCGCTTGTTTGATCTCTGCTAACTGGAAGATTTTATGTGAAACATTAGGGTTTCTTTAGAATAAACAATGTGTACATAACACCTCTGGTGTTGTAGACGTCCACATACTACAGTGACTCTTTACCATCACAAGGGGTGTATTCCAGTTTGCTGCACCACAAAAATAATCGACTTCAATTGTGACAAAACCATTTTTATTATTTTGTCTAAAAATTAAAAAAACTGAACCGATTTTAATAAAATTTCTTTGAGAGCAAACTATGTTATTTTTGTCTAAAAAGAAAACTCCTGAACCGTTTTTGATAAAAATACTATGGGACCAATCTGTAAGAATAACTAATGTAATCGTTTTAGACAAAAAAATTTCCAAATCGGTTTAGAACCGACGAAGTTATGAGGCAACATACATAAAAAAACCCCACTGATAACCACTTTCTTTTTGACGTCGGTGGAAAAAAAAGTTTAAAGTAGACATACCCGGCTGCTAACGTCGTAGGTCACGACGTTAGAATCAACTTGGCTGTCTTCAGGCGACGGCGACTCCAGCGCCGCTCGCAGCAAGGAGGCAACCTTCAGCATTTCCCGCACCGCCCATCCGTCGGCACCGTAGATTTTCTTGCCATTCAGCTTTAGATTTGCCCTTGAATGCTGAAAAATAACATTTCTGTTACTCTACCCGTGACAACACATCAAGCAAGTTACGAGTTCTCTGTCATGAATAAGGTGGTAAGATTACAGCATAGCAAGAACCAAATTTAAAAATAGCTATCAAGGTACCAGAGGGAGACTTTATACAAAAGTTGTTTGCTTGGCCACCTCTGTCCCATTCGTGTTTTTACCGTAAAGCAGATGTGTTTGCATGGCTGTGTTTCGGTTTGAAGGGTGGGATATGGCGTGAATTTACAGGGTACAGAGAAATAACACCCAAGTCCTCAGGAATGATGATGCATGGGGAGTTTCATGGGCGAAACAGTATACTCTGTTCTGTCCATGGTACTGCTCATGTCTATAGGCAACGGTTACCACTGTCCACCAGGTGGGCCGTCAGCTTGTTTGCCATTCAAGTTTTATAAAAAAAAAGGTAAAAAAAAGCGGTATCTTACAAACAAAGCAGCGGCGTGAGTGACAAGAGCCACCCTCTGCTCCATGGTGTCGCGACCGCCGTCGAGAGTGGCGTCGGGCTCCACGCGCGCCGCCAGCCACCGCAGACATTCCTCCACCAGCTCCCAGTTCGGAGTCCGGAAGCTCTCCAATGAGATCGGCCGTGGGAAGCCCAGCGCTCGCATCGCTTCGCTAAAGTCTGACCCGCGACAGGAAGGATAGTATTGTTTATATTATCTGTGGTATTGTTGAGATGTTTTAATAATAATTTAGTTTTTTTAAATGGCTTGAAATAACAAACAAGTTGACTTAAAACGCCTGCGCTAACGGGATACGCTGGCGGAGCACCAGTGAAAGGTGATAGATGAGAATGAAAACAGGCCAGTTAGCCCATCATGATGAATTCATCAGGAATTAACCATGATAGTTTCCAGGGGGAACCGCGAGGAGGTCGACCTGGTTGGGTATATTGCTAGCAATGGGATTCTCAGTCTCCATTACTAACAATCCCTTTCCCCCCAGTGTGCTTGGGTTAGTAATTACGATTAGTAGCTAGATCCATTGCTAGTTTTTTTTTAATGAGTGAAAACGGCATAGTCACCTCGCCTGCGCTTTCGGTATACACTGACCGGGTACCAGTGAGAGATAATAGGTGAGGATGAAAAGGCAGGTCAGTTAGGCCATCGTGACGAATCAACGACAAATTAGTGACGATAGTTTCCAGGGGGAACCGCGTGGAGGTCGATATTGATAACAATTGGGACGAGCCTCCCCATTACTAACAATCTCCTTCTCCCCGCTCCGTTGCGAGTCTTAATGGGTGACAATGGAATGGTAACCCCGCCCGCGCTACCGGTATACACCGACGAGGCACCAGTGGAAGATGATAGGTGAGAATGAATGCAAGTCAGTTGGCCCACCATGATGAATTCGACAAGAATTAACCATGATGGCTACCAGGAGGGCACGTGGAGGTCGACCTGACAAGGCATATTGTTAATAATGGGCCTGTTACTCCCCATTACTAATCCCCCCTCCCTCCATTTCTGTTCCTCTTGAACAGTCTATGATTTAACTATCCTTTCACATAATAGGTTATTATTAGAGGCACAGTGTACACTCACTTCTAAGGTCTCTGTATGACATTATGGTTGATCCAATTCAGGTGATTTTTCAAGTCATATACACTTACAAACTTGCGATTAGTGAATAATAATATTACAAGGTGTTCCGAATGTATTTACAGGTGATCAAATCGAGTTCTTATTTTCTTGCTATGTGTTTGTTGACATCACGCTGTATCTATAGCAACGTATAAGTTTTGTTGTAGCTACTTTTGGTATATTGTTCATTAAGGTTAATATAGAGAAACTAGCTGACTCGATAAACGTTGTTTTACCATATACACATTATTTCTAGAACTATACATGAAAATATATTGTACTACAATTATTATATTCGATTGTCATCTTGCAACCATATTGCGGCATATAAAAATTGCGATTAAACAACATAGGTTGATCGTAGAAGCGTGAAAATTTGAATTTGTATGTATTTTTCAATGTCAAATCCTAATAAAATAAAAATAAAAAATTTTGTCGAATAAAAAATATATTTAGGGGTAGGTCACCCTTATCATTGAGGGGTATGAAAAATAGATGTTGGCGGATTCTCAGATCTATCCGATATGCACACAAAATATCATAAAAATCGATAAAGCCATTTCGGAGGAGTTTGGTAACAAACACCGCGACACGAGAATTTTATATATTAGATATATGTAATACTAACATATAGTCCACATACCAATCTACTCATCTAATGGATTGGTGTATCGATAATATTGTTTGTACTATATTATGCGGACTTGATCTAAGAACAAGGAATTCCGAAATCTTTAGATTCACTCTTAGAACAAGGAATAATATATAATCTAGTAATGTAAAATTTATCATTGACAAATAATTGACATATCAAACGTTTTGCATATACTACCTACTAACCTGCTATAACCTAGGTAACTATTAACCTAAACTAATCTGCTATAAATTGTCAGAGAAGGGAAGTGATGGTGTATCTCTCGTCCTATTTTTACTAATTATATTTCCATAAGAAGAAAGGAGACAACTGTATGATTTACAGTTTTATTTTATCATTCCTTCTATGTAATTCCTTGTTCTCACGATTCTTACATCCGTACTTCACGCACACAAACATACTACACACTGTCACCTGCGCAGTAGCCTATAATTTAAGCCTATAATCTTCTCCACTTCATATAATACGTGTATACTTGTTGTAAGATCACATCACTAGTGTATATGGTACATCACTAGAGGTGGACACTGATTGGTTGATTAAATAGTATTGTAATAATGGCTGCAATAATTAAATATACCGTCTATTATTAAAAGACTATAAAAATATAACAATACTTAATCTCATAGTGGATTGGTTCAATCATTAAGAGGTAATAAACAAATAAACTTTCACATTTACAATATAGGTAATACGTGAACAAATCTTTTACAATTGACAATTCAGAGGGTACAAGGAGACTTTGTACAAAAGCCTTTTGCTTGAGCACCTCTATCCCATTCGTGTTTCAACCGTGAAGCAGTTGTGTTTGCATGGCTGTGTTTCGGTCTTAAGGGTGGGATATGGCAGTGAATTTACTGGGTACAGAGGAATAACACCTGAGTCCTCAGAAATGGCAACGCATGGGGGGTATCATGGGCGAAACAGTATACTCTGTTATATCCATGGTACTGCTCATGTCTATAGGCGACGGTTACCACTTTCCATCAGGTGGGCCGTCAGCTTGTTTGCCATTCTAAGTTGTATAAAAAAATCATTTGTAGTGAACAGGGAATTAACTAGATATGTACAGTTATGTACAATCAGTTTTGGTTTATATCATCAATGAAACTACAATTTATTCACGTGACTTTATTATTATACATATCTTTCTACTTTCGAAGCCCTCTAAAAAATCTCAAGTACTTCTAATATATTATACATTTTTTTTAAATGGATGATAATGGAATGGTAACCCCACCCGCGCTATCGGTATACACCGGCGGGGCACCAGTGAAGGATGATAGGTGAGGATGAAGCAGGTCAATTAGCCCATCGTGACGAATTCAACAAGAATTGTTCACGATGGTTTCCAGGGGGAACCACGTGGAGGTCGACCTAATAAGGTATATTGCTAGCAATGGGGCTGTCAAACTCCATTGCTAACAATCCTTTTATTAGGAATGTATCTAAATTATTTGTTTAAATATTAAGTTTTTTTTGTCATAAAATAATAGATTCCTTATTATAACTAACTTAGCGGTGTTAATGTTTTTTTTTTTTTCAAATTGGGCACACTCAGCAGTAGGCGTGTGGCACACAGCCAAACAGCTTTTATTTACTGCTATCCATTTTATATTTGACTTTGTTATTAATTGTAATCATTACTGTACAAGTGTTGTAATTGGTGCAAACGTACGAGTACAATGGGGCCGATTCTGATGCGGCATTTTCTAAATTTATCCTTAAAAATCAAATTTCAAGTTTAAATTACTGCGAAATATTTTATATCGGGACTAATACAAATTAATTTCCTAATAGATTCACAGTCAAAATGATTATAAAATGTCTCGGCGTATTTCCTTATGAAATCTGAACTGGGGTCGTTGTTGGCACAGCTTATTATTGGCTATATCTTATTTTAGAAATAATTTTTGACCAATTATCAAACCCTTAACTTTATTCGTTTTTGGAATATGGGTGTTTATTTCTAACTTTTTTTTTATACAACATAGAATGGCAAACAAGCTGACGGTTCACCTGATGGAAAGTGGCAACCGTCGCCTATAGACATGAGCAGTACCATGGACATAAAAGAGTATACTGTTTCGCCCATGACACCCCCCATGCGTTGCCATTCCTGAGGACTCGGGTGTTATTCCTCTGTACTCAGTAACTAGCAATATAATGCAGATCACACATAATAACACAATTTTATAAATCTTATGTTGTTTTATGTATTATCTATTCTTATGTACATGTTGTGTGTGATTAGTAACAAACAAATAAACGATATATCTATCTATCTATCTATCTATCAATATATTAAAGGTACCAGTGTCAACAAAACACCAATGCAGATTCCATATGGAAACACGGCGAGAACCTATAGTTCATGATGATCCATAATATAGATGTGATATTATCAAATTAAATTTTTAGATTCAGAGATTAGATAAATAGCACCTTTAGAATCGACAACTATGTTAATAAATTCAGATACACTGAGATATCGAACCTGAGTTCAAAGACAGAAGTCAAGAGGCGCCAGCCAGCAAAAGAGGCAAAGCGACATCTGCAGTTTATAGTGAGTTAACATAATTATAATATCTTTCTATTTACTGTAGGTATGGATAATCTGGTAGTATTGTTTTATTGTTAGCCTATTCCCTTTGGCCGCAACAGAATATCAGCGCTTTGCTCTTTTGAGGGCGAAGCAATAAACTGAGTTGTGGCCATTTTGTATTGTTATGGCACACAAACGAAAAATTGTATTTGGCTTTATGTATTTTTTTTTTAATAATTTATGTTATCTCACTTTTATGTTTTACGTTTTACCAGAGGGAGACTTTGTACAAAAGTCGATTGCTTGGGTACCTCTGTCCCATTCGTGTTACTACCGTGAAGCAGTTGTGTTTGCATGGCTGTGTTTCGGTTTGAAGGATGGGATATAGCAGTGAATTTACACGGTACAGAGGAATAACATCTGACTCCTCAGGAATGGCAACGCATGGGGGGTATTATGGGCGAAACAGTATACTCTGTTATGTCCATGGTACTGCTCATGTCTCAAGGCGACGGTTATCAATTTCCATCAGGTGGGCCGTCAGCTTGTTTGGCATTCTAAGTTGTATAAAAAAAAATCTTGACTGGAATAGATAAATTACTTATTCTGTCTTTACTCTTTTCTCCATGAACAAAAAACTAGCATCATAAACGCGCCTATTTTATTTTATCGCAAAGAAAGCAGTATGCTTCAACAATATATTGCTAACACATTTTTCGCAGGCGTTCCTTGTTTTTCTTTGAATAGACAGATATTTCGTATAGATTCTAATGAAACGAGATTGTCAAAATGTAACTTTAAATTTGCAATTTGATATTATAGTGAAATATTTATGCTAAGGACAAATATAAACGACATTTTTAGTAGTACTACTCCAGAATTGCTTTACACTGTATTGTCGATTGTCCATACGTAAAGTTTTATGAAATAATAAAATTTAAATTATAGAAGTGTAGACAAAATAGAATCAAATTAAAATTTTCACCACAATAGGGTCTTTTTCGTACGTTTTATAATATTTTGATAAGCGGTATTGAATTTGTTAACAACCTAAACTCAAAAATATATAAGCGCATTTGCAAATGCAGACTACATTTTTTTTTATACAACTTAGAATGGCAAACAAGCTGATGGCCCACCTGATGGAAAGTAGTAACCGTCGCCTATAGACATGAGCAGTACCATGGACATTACGGAGTATACTGTTTCGCCCATGATACCCCTAAGCGTTGCCATTCCTGATGACTCAGGTGTTATTCCTCTGTACCCAGTAAATGCACATCATATCCCACCCTTCAAACCGAAACACGGCCATGCAAACACAACTGCTTCACGGTTGAAACACGAGCGGGACAGAGGTACCCAAGCAATCGACTTTTGTAGTCTCCTGGTCTCTACATACTCGTCGTTGGTTTTTAATAGAAATATATAAAAAAAAGAAAAAAAAAAACAATAGAACAAGCGTAATCTAATTATTTATACAACTATCAACATAGTCAAATACATAAAATTAAGGCGATTTGAAATATGGAGCCAGATTAAAGAGGTCGTGTGTAGAGAACTAGATTACATACATGTTGTTTATATTAAGCATTTTTCTACTTTATTTATGAATAAAATTTATTGATAACAAAAGTTTAATACAAAAGAGGAACAAAACATGTGTAGCAGGTGAAGATGTTGGGCAAACTGCCGAAGTGGTCCCCGCTCAGCGTTATACTGCAGTCGAGGCACTATAGCGAATTAAACCACAATAAATTTTATAGTTACTTTGGCCTCTTTGTTTCTAGACTCCAAATATTTCAATAACCTTTAAATCTATTGTGTGCCCAATTTAATGGAAAAATCATAAGTCTATGGAGGTCGGCGGCTGCCTCATGGCGCGCTTCAGAGATTCCTCCCGCTTGATCGCCACGCGTAGCCGCGATGCTTTCAAATGTCTGCAACATTAAGTTTTCAATATTACTTGTACTGTTTTGTTTTGCGTTGGTTTGGTCATTTGGAGAGGATGGATGAAAGAAGAATTACGAAAGAGATTTATCTAGCAAGAATGAATGGAGATGTCGCCCTAGACGGACGTATGTCGACCAAATAGGCGACGTGCTGAAGAAGGGCCAAATTAAAAGTACCCGTAACCAAGTGAACGTGTATGAAAAGATTGATGAATGTGGAAGAAGCGAAAGCGGTTTGTTTGAATCGAAGCATTTGGCATTCCATTGTTTCTGCCTACCCTAATGGGAGACAGGCGTGACAGATATGTATGTATGTTTTGAACTAGTATCCTCTATTTATAGTATTGGGGAATATAATAAAGATGACAATTCTCAAAGTAAAATCAAATATTCTTAATATAAAGATATAAATGTCATATAAAATTAATATGAGCTTCGCACGGGTGGACATTTTTACAACATTTTAAAAAGTGGTTATTGTGACATAACGATAATAGTTGGACATATAGTATCGTGAAGTTTTTTGTAGTTATTGATATTTTCTTCAATATTGTAGAACATACTTTTGTTCTATCACCAATAGTTTCCGCAGCGCACGCGACGAAAGATATTTTATAGCATTTTTTTACACCTGAGTTACGTTACTAAAGTTTTAGTAAGGACCCCTAATCTTTTCTAGCAATAAATATAGCCTGTGTTACTCAGGGTAATTGTAGCTTTCTAATGGTGAAAGAATTTTTGAAATCGGCAAAGTAGTTTTTGAGTCTATTCATTATAAACATACATACACACAAAAATACAAATCTTTCCTCTTTATCAATTTAGTTCAGATGTAGATTGCTTTCCAGGATGGGGCACCAGGTAAGGACGAAGCAGGTCAATTAGCAACGCTGTTAAGGCACCAATAGAAAACATAAAAAATCACATTGACATTTAAATAATGAATAAAGGTAAGAACAGACGACATATTGTTTAAAATTAAAATAATATAAATATAAAAAGATCTCTAAGTTTACTCAAAGAGTAAATAGTAAAATTTTATTTGTTTATCGAACCTCTGCCTGATCCTCTCCTCTGTCTCCGGCGACACCTCCCTCTTAGTGACAGCGGCATCTCTGATTATATTGCGCAGCTTCTGCATACAGTCAGCAAGGTTCAGTTGCTGAGAACGAGTAGCATCCGAACGGATGATGATATATCCATCCTTTGTCAACTTCTTACCGTGCTGAAATATGATAGGAATATAATAAGTATGCCGTCACAACATTTAGTGCCTGGTTCTATCCTTAAGCTAATATGTATTTGAGAGTAACCAATCTATTAGCATAAACCAGGACACTTAACTCCAAGTTAAGAAGTATTTTTTTTTCCAAAATAACTCCACCAAGAATAGAACCTAGGACTTCATTTACAATGTGCATACTATTTTACTACAATAGTCACTAAAGTTCGTGTTCTACCGCTTATACAACGGATTGTGCTCAGAGGAATTATTCAATATGATGCCTACGGCCACTTTCTACCATCGTACGGCTCGCCATCGACAGGGAGTTCACCCTCATACCTTACAGCCTAAATGGTCGCGTACAACGCGGTTTCAGAGATGCTTTCTCCCACGAACACTCAGGTTATGGAATGAGCTCCCTGCCGAGGTTTTCCCAAGAGACTACAGCATGGGGTTCTTCAAAAGGGGAGCAAAGAGGTTTCTTCAGGGTCGGCAACGAGCGCGTAATACCTCTGGTATTGCAGGCGTTCATAGGCTACGGTGACCGCTTACCATCAGGTGGGCCGTATGCTTGTTTGCCACCTCAGTGGTATAAAAAAAAAAGTATGTTTACTTAATTTATAGAACATATTAAATACTGAGAAAATAATTCTTATTTGATGAAATTTCTATAAAGTAGTAATTAAAAAAAAAGTTATGTCTCATTAATCTAACCTTAAATAACAAGAGAGAAAGAGTGGACAAAGAAGAGATGCATCAAAAACCTCGTACATACATATGTGCATGAAGAGGTGAATTATGTTAAAATTCTTCAATTTATACAAAATATACAGTACATATATTTAAAGGTGGTAAAACACATGACACTAATCACAAAATTAAAAAACCAATTTTAAATACAAATACAAAATAAACTTGATTTATGTAGGTTTACAAAAGAGCATTTTAAGATGGCTTTATTTGTAATTTTCCTTAATCTTGTGTTTTATTTCTTTAATCACTTTTTACAACATCCAGGGAATTAATAGCAGTAATGGAATAGACTCCATCACCACATAAACAACCATATTTAATCACTACTTTAAGCCTTCACAAACTGTGTGTATTTTTTTGCACACCATCAACCATCACGGACAATATTCTCCCAGACGATAATTTGACCTACTTAATGGTAAGAACAAATTCCAAAAAAAATCAATAATATGTCCCAAATTTCTTTTTTTTTTTTTTGTTTATTATTTGTTTCCTTAGTTTTTGACTTGAATACTTTACCCCCTGATGAAATAAAATTTTGTAATCTTTTCAAATCTTAGATATAAATTAAGAAGAAATGTTTTGGAGATTTATTCTTCATATAAGCGCCTTTCAAAACCTTGCCTATGAGGTATGTGTGTGTGTAAGTTTTTTTACAAAGGAGTTCGAGACCACATCCTTTTTTTCTTACAAAGATATGCATCAGGTCCAAACTTGGCGCGGATAATATTGTCGTATATGGTTGGTGGAGGGTTAGCTATCAATACTAATGGAAATTGATAAGAAAGAGTTAGTTTAGATAATAAACTAACCAGCTGCAGCAGTCTCTCTTTGATCTCTGGGTGTATCCAGTCCGCATCCTTCACTTTGAACCTCAGGTCAACCTTTGTATGCACCTGTATAAAAAGCAGTCAGAGATTACTACAGCTGAATATCAATAGCAGGACAAAAGGGATGGGTAGTGATGGGGTTTAACAGCTCTATTAGTAGCAATATACCACATAGAGTTGATGTCCATGCTGTTCTTCCTAAAAACCACTGTAATTAATTTTTTTTTTATACAACTTAGAATGGCAAACAAACTGACGGCCCACCTGATGGAAAGTGGTAACCGTCACCTAGAGACATGAGCAGTACCATGGACATAACAGAGTATACTGTTTCGGCCATGATACCTCCCATGCATTGCCATTCCTGAGGACTCAGATGTTATTCCTCTGTACCCTGTATATTCATGCCATATCCCACCCTTCAAACCGAAACACAGCTATGCAAACACAACTGCTTCACGACTTTTGTCACGCAATCAACTTTTGTACAAAGTCTCCCTCTCCTTCTTATGGAATTCATCACTATGGGCTAACTGACCTGCTTTTGACCTCATCTATCACCACCTACGGATACCACACCTACATATATCAATAGCAGGCAAGGTTAATATATTTAATTATCAGCCCATAAAAGAATATCAACAGTTTATTAAAATGGTTTTCTTTTCAATAGATGAAGATTGAATGGTGTTCTCGACTATAATAAAGGTAGAAAGTATAATGACAGGACACCATGACATAATGAAGTTGAAGCTGGTTTCATATTTATTGTTTCATTCTCCTTTTGACTGATCTGTATTAGTTGGCCCATTGTCACAAATTTACTAAAAATGACTATGACGACGTCCAGGAAGACTCGTGTAGAAGTTGACTGGACAGCACCAATGAGGACTATCATTTCTATTAATAACAATTCCTCCCAATTAGTTAGGATCGTCATGTTCATAGTGTCATGTTAATATAAATAATAAAATTATGAACAATAAAGATAAAAACACAACAATCAACAACAACAAAATTGTAAGAATAATTTCATTCCACTTAAAATTAATTATGGCTTAGATATAAATATTTGGGTGAGTGGATACGCTTAGGGAATTGAATATAACAAAATTATTAAATAAAACAGAAGTTTTTAACAGTACCTTATTGACATTTTGACCGCCTGGTCCTGAGCTCGCACTATATGTGATATCCAACTTTTCAATAGGAATAAAACCAGAAAACTTTTCCTTTGGATCTGGAGTCTGAAAATCCAAGTATTTATATCGATATAAAACTTAAGTTTTTTTACTCATTTCAATAAAATATCAATGAAATATCACTATGACTCACAAAAGTGGGAGTTGTAAGCTTCAAGGAGCTGTTGGGATATAAGGTTTCCAAGGAAATTGCGCTTTTATAAGCCATAGGCCTCATCAAGGTTGTATAATGTACATTTTGCGCCAATTTTTGTATGAGAAATAGTCTTGAACAGGTTAACGCCATATTTATTACAATAATACTATTTAAATATATGTAAATATTAACACTTTTGCATAATTAGAGACTAAAAGTTTATTTTATAGTAAATCTATTAGGTTAGAATTAATATATATTTGATCAGGACTGCCTGAATGACTGACTGATTGCCACTGACAATAGGATTGATGGTGACTGACATCTCGGGTGACGTATCTAACATTTCATATTTTAAACTAAAAATTGTCAAAGCGCGAAAACTTTCAAATTTACTTTTAATGGAGATGCCAATGAAATTGTCACACGTTATTATATCCACAAAGATTTAGAAACAGAAGAATTTAGTTTATATTCTTAGCATATTTGTAAATTATGAATACTTGCAAAAAGTAAGAGCCAATAATCTTTCCTTTCTGTCGGTGTCGTAAAAGACGATTAAGGGAGGGCTAGGTATAGACAGCAGCGTACCTCTTAAAACATCTTTAAAGCGTAACTGCGGTTGCCAATCCACCTGCCAAGCGTGGCAATTGCTAACAACCCCCCAATGGGGAGGCTTATGTCCAGCAGTGGATATTTAAAGGCTAATATGACGACGATGATGATATTTTTATTTTCCTCATAATATCTCATAATTATATTCAATTTACAATGGGACAAAAGTCATTGTCCACCTGTCAAAAATTTATATATGTCCGCCTATATATTGAACAAAAGAGACACCTGTTTAGGATCTCAATTTCTCCAATGTTGAAAGCTGAAACAATACATATTAAGCGGTCATAAAATACCATATTTAATAATAATCTAAGTCGCCAAGTAGCGCCATAATCACCGTTTTTGTGCTAAACTAACAAAATTACTGGTTTTAATTCTCTCGGAGAAAAACACGAGACGTAAATGCGCGCGCGCGTATGTCACGCTCCAGATAATTTAATTAGGATCCCGTTCCGCTCGGGGGGCCGCCTCACGTTTCTACAAGAATATTTAGACAACAATAATTCATACATTTTGACACGTTCGCGGTTCTCTTTTCTTGTCGTCCGGTAGATTACCATTCAAATCCACTCTGCAGCCGTCACAGTGGAGACAGCTTAGCCACAGTTGAATTCTTTTGTCGAATGGATACTTCTTTTGTCGAATGACATACGACATTCAACTTGGTAGAAAGTGGTACCACATATAGATTGGCGACTGCAGTTAGGGTTCAGAGATTGGTGGTGTTTAAAGAGAGACGCTGCTGCTCAGCCCTCGCCTTAGTCGCCTCTTACGACACCCACGAGAGAGATATAAATAACATTCATAACACGAATTATGGATTTCGGTCACAATCATTACAAACTAAACGGTGATAGGTGACATCCTGTAATCCCATATTCATAGTCGTAGATAGAATATCCACTATCTAACTTACACATTGCGGGGGAGAAGGGATTGTTAGTAATGGGGATTAGTGGCCCTATTGCTAGCAATATACCATACTCTGTCAGGTCGACCTCCACGTGGTTCCCCCTGGAAACCATTGGGATTGACTTATTGTTAGATTCATCATGGTAGGCTAACTGACCTGCTTCATTCTCACCTATCATCCCTCACTGGTGCCACGCTAGCGTACACCGATAGCGCAGGCGGGGCTACCATTCCATTATCATCTATTAAAAAAAAATTTGCACAAGTAAGTGAAAAACATACTGGAACTAACCTGGGATAATTTTAATTGTTGAAAATGTGGCGATAACATTGATGTATTTAAAGTTGCCCACCCACAAAATCGTTTGATGCCCACCTCATAATCATTTGTCGTCCACACTAAATCTTGCAAAGACTAGTAGACCCGTTTGCGCTGTTGGTATACATCAGGAGGACACCAGTGAGTGATGATGGGTGAGGATGAAGTGATGTTAGTCGGTCCATCGTGTTCACAAAAGTAATGTACTGGTGACATGCGTGGCGTGATGCTGTCAGTGCGTAGACGATAAGCGGCCATTATAACGTGCAACACTAATAATATTTCATTCGTGCACGTTATGCGGTATAGAAGATATTATATTGTCACATAAACACAGTTAACGAAAATAATTACCTTATATAAAACCGTTATATATATATATATATATATATATATATATATATATATATATATATATATATATATATATTTCTCAAACATGCTTGGAAATGTGAGCATTATTTTGAAAAGATAAATTACTATGTAAACTCATATCTGTCCTGTAATTTAAAAATGGAATGACCTTTTACTTCGAAACATGGCTACCAAGGAGACAACTAAAAAAAGGTTTTAATTAAATTGGCTTGCAATTCAATTTCGAATTGGCTTGCAAATAGAAAGCTGTTAATTGAAAAAAAAAAACAAATGAATATTATGGCGCGTGAAAAATTATAATTGTCCGTTATTCGTCATTGAACTTAAAAAGTAAAATTGTGTTTTTGATTTCCGCGCATTGTTTGAGAAAAGTACTATACAAGCCTTGGCCACAACTAGGCATTGATGAACTCACGTATGTGTGCCTCGGCTACACCTTGGCTCACATTTCCACGTTCGTCCATCAATGCCTCAGTTGCTGGCCGCTGCAATTATGTACTAATAGTCTATTTCAATAAAGGTGATTTGAATTTGAACCCTGTGGTACTTATAACCTTTTCTATGTGGAAAGAAAGAAAAGAATAATTTTTATTTAAGTAAATTTAAAAATTAAAGTATTTTTTTAATAGTACATTTTTATGTTTCTACCGTCCATTCGGATTCGGATTAATGGAAGGTTACGAGTTACCGCTTTCCATCAGGTGGGCCATCAATTTGTTTGCCGTGTTCTGTTTATTTATTTTCTGAGTAAAGTAGTTGTGCATAGCTAGTGAATTCACACTGAAATGGTGGCTTCGAATGATGACAGGTGAAGATGAAAAGGTCAGTTAGCTCATTGTGACGAATTCAACGATAAATTAGTCACGATAGTTTCCAGGGGTAACCGCGTGGAGATCGATCTGATAGGGTATATTGATAGCAATGGGGACTAACCTCCCCATTACTAACAGTCTCTTCCCACCAACAGTTAACGGCTGATATGATGAGGATAATTAGTGGAATGCTGGCCATCACCTGTGCTATCGGTTTACGCTGACTGGGCATCAGTCAGGGATGATAAGTGAGGATAAAAGCAGGCCAGTTAGTCCACTGCGATAAATCCATCATGAATTAATTACGGTGGTTGGGGGGAAAGGGATTGTCAGTAATGGAGACTGAGAATCCCATTGCTAGCAATATACCCAACTAGGTCGACCTCCTCGCGGTTCTCCCTGGAAACTATCATGGTTAATTCCTGATGAATTCCTCATGATAGGCTAACTGGCCTGTTTTCATTCTCATCTATCACCCTTCAAAAGTGCTCCGCCAGCGTATCCCGTTAGCGCAGGCGGGGTTACAATACCATTTCCACCCATCAAAAAAAATCCACGATGGTTTCTAGAGAGATGATGTTGAGGTTGACCTGACAGTGTATATTACTAGCAATTGGAGTGCTGCTCTTCCTTACTAAAAACCCCTTACCCCAAAATTTCTTAATAGTAATGTTCTCAAAGTACACCACACAAAGTAATAAATGCTAAGTCGCTTGTTAATTATATCTTCATCTGCTTCTGAAACGTAAAACCTACTCCATGAAAATTAAAATCGGCAACTAGGTACTTTCATCAATTATGTTAATGTATTAGATACGTACAAGTGCGCGGGCGCACGCCACCCGCCGCTCGGCTGCTTTCCGAATTCCAAGCTCGGATTAACGATGCTTGCACTCGTAAATTCGCCGTTCTTACTGTCTCTTAATGCCAATACCATACTCTCATTTATAATACACTTAATGTTTTCCAGTTTTTTTTTTTTTTTACATCTTGTTGTCACGATTCTATGATAAAATTCATTGAATTATTGAATCATAAATCGGTATTGAGTTTTAGCTAGCGGGCTAGCGCTAGCGGCCCGGTACGTGCTTCGCTACGTATAAAGTGAAATAATAAAAAAATAATTAATTTAAACATCAAATTCATTTATTCAAACAAAAAAAAAACTGTCAACACTGAAAAAAGAATCAATCTTCTCATCCCCATCTTAAAAAAAGATTGAATTTAACATAAAAATCCCCATTAACAAATTGATCCACCATTTATAGAATTTATTTGTTACAAAAAATGTAATAAATGAAGAACCGCTCGAACGATTTTGTGCAAACTTCACATAAACCATCTACTAAATAGTCCGAACAAACCCTAAACATTTGGTTTGGGTAGGTGAGCCCGTTCTTGAATTATAAAATTACAACGAAAAGTGGCATTAATTTTTATATATATATAGATTATGTGCTCGTCACAATGTACCCCCAAGAGACGGCGTAGGTATGCAGTTCTTAATATTTGATATAGGTTTTGTTTTGCCACTTTGAGGACGTGGATTTCATTGGCTGTCTCCTAAATCTCTCTCATTATTCCTAAATGTCACACAAAAACATAAAAATGCATGTAGGTATCGCGATAGGATGAGATAGAGGTATCTATATACGCAAATTTAATCACTTTGAACTTGTTTTTGCAGTACAATGGCTAAGCGCAGGATAAAGCCCGCCTTCACGTTCACCAGACACGATTGCCCACCCATCCATGCCCCTGACAGACCACATTCACATTTCAATGAACTAACAGGCACCAACGAAAGCGTATAATTAAAAATTAAAATCAACAGTAAAAATTCTTAATTAAATGGCGCACATACCGAAATTGCTGCTGAGACGCTCGCGTCTTCACGCTCTTATAGGCAAGGCCTACTATATCACTGGTGTAATCTGACCTCTAAATAAGATTAAATCCCTCCTCTGCAGTCCATTTTAGTTAGCATCGAAAGAGGTACGGCAGCTCTTTCATAACTGGTGCCATGTTATGGCTACATTTTACAACTTTAACGGAAGATGAGGTTACAGCCCGCTAATTAGTGCTTGATAGAGACGTTTTCTACGCTTGTAATGCAACATTGGGAATATCGTTGCTTAAACTTACAGATCAAGGATCTATTGCTACTCTTCATGATTATTACTAGTTAGCTATATTTCGTAGCAAGCTGGTAATATTTGTTTTTAATGCAACTTAGAATGCCAAACAAG